AGATGATTTGCATCACTCATGAAACCAGTCTTTAACTGCCTTAGGAAGAAAACTTTGCAACAAAGGGTGTTGTGTTGAGTACCTTAGCTGAGATTTTTGTTTGTCTGTATTATGATTTGATCCACTAGGTTTTATTTGGCGTGTTTGGAGAGAAGAAAGTTGTAGGATGTTGACAGGGTGGACTATTTGGATTTAGGGGTGGAGGTTCGAGTACACCATTTTTTTATGACTAATTCTTTTTTCTAATTAATGTTAGATTTTACTATGCCATGTTTTTTGTAAATTACATGTATTCGTTTCCTAAATGAAGTACTAGTATGCTTGCATTTTGGATTTTCAGTAAACTTATCCAAATCCCACAAACAAGAAAAAAATAAATTGTTGCATAAAAATCACAAGCTGGTCCTTCATCTAAATGATGTGTTTTGTTGTGTACATGAATGAAAAGCTTGACTATGAGAGAGGACAAGGGGCTTGGAACAAGATGTTAAGATCCTCGTCAATTGATTGGGATAAAAATTTGGAAACAATAATCCAATGGTCCCCATTTTTTGATGAAGAAGACCTGCTTCATCAGGTAATTGTGTTCTAGAGCTTATACCAAATTGGTAAATTTGATACAGATTTTGTTATGAATTTTGTTAATTTTATTTTTTGTTTAGTTCTATATGATGAAAACCCATGGAACCCGAATAATCATCTACAACCTTTGGGAGGATGATGAAGGACAGCTGGAGCTTGATTTTGAAGCTGATCCACATGTATGTTGGTTGACTAGATATCTGTCTCCTAATTTTTTGAACTTCAGTGGCGTTGTGATTCCAGCAAAATTGTATATCGTGTGTATTTTGCAGGATATTCAAATTAGAGGTGTCAATCGAGACGAGAAGAGTATACAAATGGCAAAAGACCATCCCAATTCTCGTTTTTTCTTAACCTACCAGCACTCATTGAGGGTAAAACTAAATTTCACCATTCTGTTTGCTCACTTATCAATTTTCCAGTGGTCTTGGGTGGGTCTTGGTTCTGTATCAGAACAGAGGAATTCATGTATTTAATCTTAACTTTAATAAGTCAAAAACCTATTTGTACTCCCCCCCCCCCTTCTGCTAGTCGCTATCTTTGTGTGCATTGCTTATTTTGGATATTTACACTAGTTGGCTGTACTGTCTAGTCGGAGTAAAATTCAACGGTTTTGCTACATATGGTAAAATGATAAAGAACTAAGAGAGATGATAATATGAAATGAAGACAGATGAAGCTGATTTGTGTCATAGTTCCTGGTCCAACTTGAAGACAGAATCTGTCTATCTGTTCATCTATTATTTATTATTAATACGTTTCTTCATTTTGACTCCAGAGCTATGTATCAATTCTCTATTTGCGGATTCCTCATAACTTTCGAATTATTCTTCGCGGGAAGGATGTTGAGCACCACAACATAGTCAATGATATGATGATGTCCCAGCAAGTCACATATCGGCCACAGCCTGGTGCTGATGGGGTTACAAAGGATTCAAATGTAATATTTCACTACAAACTTTTACTGTGATAATCTTGCGTAATTTTGTTGTCTTTCTAAGGACATGCAACTCTTGTCATCAGATGGTTGCTGTTGTCACCATTGGGTTTGTGAAGGACGCAAAACATCATATTGATGTTCAAGGGTTTAATGTATATCACAAGAATCGACTGATTAAGGTATTTTAGTTTTAACCTATGCATTTCTTGAGTTTGTTTTGAATATGTTGTTTAAGCAATGAATTTTCATCGGTCATTAAGCAGAAGTTGATAAATTTTAAATTTTATTTATGATGTTCATTTTTATCTCCAGCCATTTTGGAGGCTTTGGAATGCTGCAGGAAGTGACGGCCGTGGTGTTATAGGTGTTGTTTCTTCATTCAAGTTCCTTGACTTTAACTAATTAGCTGAAAGTGAGTTGTTTCTGAGACATTTTGTTCTTGTAGGTCTTTTAGAAGCTAATTTTGTTGAACCAGCTCATGATAAGCAGGGGTTTGAGCGTACAACAGTTCTTCAAAGACTGGAGGGAAAATTAATAGCTATGCAAAAGACTTACTGGTTTGTGGTCTTTGGGCTAATTGCTTACAATGAGTTCAGACTTTTATGAGTTGCTTTGTTGTTTTTAATCTTTGATGCTCACAAACGGGTGTTCGCCACTGCCTATGTAGGAGAGACAATTGTCATAAAATCGGTTATGCTCCACGGAATAAGAATGGCTCTGCAGATAAAGGTATGTTGTGTACCATACATTCTTTTGGTTTACCCTTGTCAACCTCATAAAGTCATAAATATTCATATTTTCATTTGTAGAGGGTCCTCCCTATGAAACGAATGGTAATACATCAGGCAGCAAGAAACCGGTTAATGTTTCCAGCAAGCTCCGTTCTAAAGCTTCAAAAAATATTTCTACTTATCATGGGCATGTGAATGTACACACGTCTGATAAAGCCACAAAAAGAGTGCAATCGCCCACAAAATCAGGGGAAGGATCGTCAAGCTCATCTGAACCACCATCACCTTCAGCAGTCAATGTTACCAATAAACAAGTGAATGGCAGTAGTAGTAAGGCATTTTCTGCTAAGAAATACTCTGGAAAAGATGTCCCGGTGACTCGGTTATCTTCATGTATGGACGGTACTCAATCTCAGCAAGATTATTCAACACGTGGAGGAACCAGTTTACACACCCCAAGTTCCAAGTCAAAGGTTACTTCTACTGACTTTGCTTCAAATTACTTTTTGCATTAGAGGGTTATTATATTTCTAAAGTTAGGGTTTTGCTCAATTAGCAGGGGAATGATGTCAATGGTGATTCAGGCGTTTTGGAGCGATTGAGAAAAGAGAATCGTGAACTGAAGCAAAGGTACTTGTTCTGTCCTTTTCACCACCATATAAACATTCGTATGGACTTAATGTTCGCTTCAGTACTTTTATCACCATGCTGCATGCGAATCGTCCTCAACTCTTTCCTTCTGTATAGGTTGGAGGCGGAGAAGGACAGAGCAACTTCTGCTGATTTGGAGCAGGACTTGCAGCGTGAAAAGGATAGATCCAAGTTACTTGAAACTCAGGTATGTGCCCATTATCTAATCTCGCCGAGATTGTTGGAAAAAGTGGGAAGTAGATCTAATAAGCAAGCGATTGATCTCTTTGAATATTTGATAGAATTTGACAATTACTGCCTGTTCTTGTGATCACCAGCTCCAAACGGCACAAGAAAAAATTGAGGAAATGAGCAGGGAACAAGAAACTCTAATTGGCATATTCTCCGAGGAGAGGGAGCGACGAGACAATGAAGAGGCCACTTTGAGAAAGAAGCTGCAGGTCAGCGCAATTTCTTTGTTCGTACCTTTTACCTTTTAAGATTCACTCCCCCCCCCCCCTCCCCTCCCTTATTTTGCTTGTTTTTGCAGGATGCATCCAGTACCATTCAATTATTGCTTGAAAAGGTAAGGGAACTCGAAGCAAAGAAGTCCGGGAACTTGAAATCCAAAAGATAGCGGTCTCGCCATTGTGTTCAGTAGTGATCTTTAGGAATTGGCGAAATGTAGTTGACCCAAATTTCAGAAGTACTCAAACGTAGATCGGGAGCCATTTGTTGGACGGTTGGGGAACACGCCGGCCTTCTTTCTCACTAGTTACGTGACGTAAATGGTGTAATGTATAAGGAGAGAAATCAGAGTGATAATATGAACTATGAGCATCAGTATGTGTTGGGTTGAATCGGTAGGATGCGATGTTGAAATATAGTAAAAACAATACACTGGGTTTCGTATCGACTATTACACGGGTCTTTGCCTTCTCTGGTTTGGTCAATTTCCTTGCATACCAAGAATTGGGTTTGGAGGGCTTTGATTTAGAAAATGTCAAATTTTACGTAACGAATTAGAAAATGGGCATGAGAAGGAATGAGTATGGGATAAAAACGATTCCTCATTGGTTATCTCATGCCTTCAGTTTTCGGGTATGCCATATATCCCTATAAATTTGAGCCAAACCGGTTTATCATTCGATTTAGTTTTTGGTTTTTAAATAAAGTGAACTGAACCAATCGGGCTTACTCCTTACCTATAAGTTGTGTTATATTATTATTTTCATGGTGTAGGATTTTAATGTAGGATTTAAGAGATTCGTTATGTCAATTCCTAAGACCATCTCCAGACATGTGCTAGAGTCACTTTTCCTATGGGCCGACCCCGTGGGACCCGTGGAAAAAAAATTAAGCCAAGGGTTGGGTACACATAGCCTGCCCTGGGGCTAAATGTGCCATGATTCCTAAAGCACGATTCCTTTTAGCCTTTCGACTGGAGGCTGTTTTTGTCATTTTCAACAGCTAAAAATAGTATATAGCTCTCTAATAGAAGTGAGTTAATGTTATAAAACGTGAATTAATAGCACATGTTTACGCATCATCACAACCTTTCTTCTTTTGTGTGAAAAGTTTCTCCTTGTCAATGTTGGTGTTATTGGTCTCTATCAAACTTGCAATGAACAAATCTAATTCATTTACCCAAAACAAAAAGAAAATGACAATATCATCCATCTCCATCTTTAGCAACATTCCTACCAATTTATCCTTGTCCATGTCCTAAAACAGCAAAAAAACAAAATAAAACATTAATCATTAAAAAAATAATAATAATCTTAACAGGCACACGCACGTGTTATCGCAGAATGCCCAAACGTCCTCCGTGTGGTCCCGGACCTCCCGGTCCCCCCCACCCGTACCCGAACATTCCCCCCTCCCTCTAAACCGGATAAATGACCTAATCATTCATTTCTCCCCTCAGTTAAAACAATTAACTCCCCCACGTGCGCTCTAATCCCTCGTTAATTAATAATCATTCAATTTAATTAATTAAATAATCACTTTATAAACACTCACCTCCAAAACCAAGCAACCGACCACATTCCCCTCGTCTTCTTCCTCATTTCCGGTCCTGGAAACCCTAATCCGCCGAGCAGGTACGACGTCGTCTAATTCTATAGATACACTCACTGTGTTTATATGTATAGGTTTTGAGATTCGCAGAGAAGCATTAAATGCGATCGGCTTTTGGAGGATTTTTGTGTTTTGACATTTCAGGCCTTTTTGCGATTTTGCGCTGCCATTTCTGTCTCGCTTTTGGAGCTTTTCTTTCTGCACAGCCAACAATGTCTGCCATTTATGTGTGCTGTTTCCTTGTACATCTCTGTACCACTATTTACAGCCTGCGCTTGTTTTCTCTCTCTAACTCCCCTCTCTCTCTCTCTCTTTCTCTCTCTTCGCTGCATAAAAGTTCCCGGAAAATCCACAGTTCCCCACACACGCAATTGTATCTCGCAGCAGCGATTCGGCACCAAAACGCATCGTTTTCCTCGACAATTCGGAGGAAAAAGTCGCGGTTTCCTCTTCTGTGAAATACCTAGCTCTCTGGCGCTCAAAACTTCAAACCGCCGTCGTTTTGCCTGTTTTGATCCTACAGAAAAAGCCTAGCGTGTAGCCTCTCTATATCTATCGTCCTCCCCGTGAGTCCTTCCCACTTTATGCAAGTCAAATCTCAGCCCTCTCTCTCCTCTCTTCTTTCTCTCTCTAAATCGACGGCTATTGTTTTTTTTGACTGATTTATCTGATTGATTTTTGATGTGATATAAATTCATCGGTTCCTTCACCCTCTCACTTGTATTTCTTCACTGCAGAGCTTCGAAGCTTGCTCAGTAACTCGTTCGTCGGTTCAGCACTCGCTCTTTCGGAACCGAGTTCGTTTCCAACTCGACTCACCCGCACGATGACGAAACGGCGAGTCGTTGCGGTCGTGGCGTCGCTGCTTCTCTTCGGAGTCGTGGCCGTAGTGGTGCTGCTGTTCGCGCCTGGATTTGACCGAGGTACGTGTACGGACGACGACTTGTCGTTTGGATCTTACCGCCGAAGATTCACGCGACGCACGCCGTTATTTTATTTTTATTTTTTTTTTGCTTAGATTCTTTCTCCCCATTGAATCCCGTATCTAATTATTGCTTCTCAATTTTATAATTTAATCCGCTTTTTTATCGAGTTGCTTTTTGTTTGTTCTTGGTATCTCTTTCGCAAACACAAGGGGTCCATGTGTTTGTCATCTTCTGAATTTTAATTTTTAATTAATTAATTACTTAATTTCTTGTCCAATTCCGTGTTATTTTTCACACTTTCCCCAATAATTTTTTATTTTTATTTTTAATTTGATGATATTTTGTTTACGAATTTTATTTGCAGATGGATTTTTGAAGCCTGAATCGTCTGAAGCTGCAAACTCCACACTCGCTGCAATCCACCGCAAGCTGCTTGTTCGTGGTAAGTGATCAATTTCCGATTAATTAATATTATTCGTATTAGTTAATTTAGTTTCTCGAATTAGCCATAGAAACGAGAATTGAATGCATGGAGGCCTCTAGATAAATTTTATTTTTTATTTAATTTTCCGGTCCTCCGCAAAATAAGTTTATCAGGACATCGGCAAACATTCCGTTCTTAGGTCAAGTCCTTATGATTTAATTTGAATTTTCCGTAATTTTGGTATTTCTAACATGGTGATGGTGAGACAAACCAGAATTTGTTAGCCATTTGTTCGCAAGTGAATAACTGGCATTCTTTGGTCAGAGGGGTGGGAAATGGGTGTCAGTGTCAGAATTCCGCGCTCGTAAGGGGTACATGCTAACGTGCACCGTTAGCTCTCTGACCCCCCTGCTCTAGGTGTATATGCTGTCCCATATGATATGTGGTATCTTTTGAATGGTATCTCAAATATCCCAATAGGTTGCCATTCCCTCTTTTGGTGTAACCAAATTTGAAACAAAGTCTTTGCAAAGAAATACACACTGTTTTATGTTACATTGCACAACCCTATTGGCTTGTTTTAATGTCTACAATTTGTCTCTTGAAATATGTGCATATTATGTTAACATTATATGTAAATTATGAGTTTCATACTCCCGATTACCATGTGACTACATATACATAGTTATCCGTTGTTGGATTTGATAACAAGTGAGACCATAATTTCGTGGTCACTTTGTTGTGTTCCCGCGCACTTTCCTATTTGTTTTTAAAGAAATGTTAAGAAGGCTTTCTCAAAAGTCGAACTCTTTGTGTACTCTTTGTCATCTTATACTTTTAGCATGTGAATTGAAATTAAATTGTAAGGTGCCAGAAATCTGTGAAAATTTTCACTTTTAAAGAAACTTATTAACATTTCTCTCGCTTTTTAACTCGTGAATTATTTATTTAATTATGTGACTTGAAACAAGAAAAAGAGAAATTTGGAAATCATTTCTCATACAAATGAAGCCCTACTTCACTTTTCTAGCTGTCTGCCAATTCTGCGTATATGATGAATGCCAATTGCATTCTGTCTTTTTCTATTTTTTCGGCAAGTAAATGTTGACACATGGAAAATGCCCTTCTGTGAAGTGAAAGAGCGTGTTGACCGAAAGTCTTGGCTCTTTTTTGAATGCTAAGTTGCCAAATACAAAAAGGCTAAGCCATCGGTGAAAAGCGAGGATTTGGATTCTCTCCTGGGCAGTGGGTCCGAATTTTGTTAATCAAGCAGTATGAACCGTTGGATCAAAATTCAACAGTTACAAACAGGAGATCTTCAAGAAGTTATAATAATTATAATCGTTAGATTTTAATCCAACGGTCTGTATTGCTTAGTCAACAGGATTTTGACCCTCTGCTCAGGAGATGATCCAAATTGGAAAAGCAAAACATGAATAGGTGATACATTGAAAGTAGAAGCTTTGACAGGTCCCATCTCCAGTTTTCCTTTTGGGTTGATTTGTCTGTGTTTAAGCTTTTCTTGTATAATTCATGTGAATCATCTAGAAAAAGTGTCTTTTGTCTATAAATGCTTTCCTCAACCCTACATGAAGAGAGATTCTTGGGTCGCGGTCTCTCGGTCGTCCAAAATGCATATAAACGGAACGGAACTCCCTTGTATTTGGATCCATCAAAATAAGTGCGTCTGAGACTCGCATACAGAGGTCTTTTGGCCGGACAAGTTAACATGACACAACACAACTACCTGCCCTCAAGAAATTCTCCTATTGATAGGTTGGGAAATGTGCACATTGTAACGTTTAGGACTCGAACGAGTGGATGGTAACGCGGCATATCCAGTCGTGCTCAAGAATTTCTCTTCGACGAACATTGTAGTGTTTAACGTTTCACTATCTGAAATTTGTTATGATGGTCTCATTTTCTTTTCCTATATTAAATCGTATATATTCATATCATTTGCTTTCTTGTTTTACAGCGGCAGCAATGGAGGAACCAGACAGGATTCGAGGAGACAAGTGCAGCAAGGCAGACATAGTGATAAACCAGGGCCCCACACCCCCGCTGCCAAGTGGCATCCCCACATACACCGTCGAGATCATGAACATGTGCGTCACCGGCTGCGACATCTCCCACATCCACCTCACCTGCGGTTGGTTCAGCTCCGCCCGCCTCGTCAACCCCAAGATCTTCAAGCGCCTCCGCTACAACGACTGCCTCGTCAACGACGGCAAGCCCCTCGCCAACGGCGGCACGGTGTCGTTTCAGTACGCCAACACTTTCAGCTACAAGCTCTCCGTCTCCTCGGTCACGTGCTCTTAGAAATGGTATTAATAAAACAATCAATCACCTAAGTAGAATAGTTAACACACAAAAAAAAAGCAGAACATTTGGGTGTACTTTTGTGTACAGTAAAAATAGTAGTTATAGGGGATTGAGAAAGTGAATGTTCTTTTGGTGATGACTGGTTGTGAGTTTTGAACGCAAAATTGCTAGTAAAAAAAAAAATTGCAACTTGTATCTACTTTCATCCTTATGATTTCGATATTATTCACCATGGGTGTTGGGTAGCACAAAATCATGAAGAAAAAAATTTTACGTGACTATTGGATGCTTTTATTCAGACAGAATAAAGCAATTGATTGTCTAATAAATTGTAATTTTAAAGCGTTGTAAGTGCGAAAAACAAACTTAGTATTTGGCAATCTTTCATATAAAATGTTATGATACTACGTAATAATCATAGAGGGAATGATGCTAAAAATGGTTTTTACATTAAACTGTGATTGTGTAAACTAGGAGTTGATTAGGGTTAAGGTTGAAATTGATGGTTCTTGTGCTAATGGTAGACCAGGTTTTGGGGTATTTTTCGTAATTTGGAGGGGCATGTGCTTGGTGCTTTCGCCTCAAATAATAAGTTTGTTAGTTTATGCGGCTATTGAAATTTTAACTTTCATTGCGGCAGTTCGAGATGCTTGGGTTGGAGATTGAAAGCATATTTGGATAGAAACTAATTCTACTTTGGTTATTCGTTATTTTTATAAGGCTCCTTCTTCAATTCCTTACTTTCTCTTGGACGATTGGAATAATTGTTTATGATGCCTTCGTCAGATCAGTTTTATTTGCAAGCACATTTATAAGGATCGTGAAGCCCTATAGATTAGGCATGAATATATGCATTTTGTGTTTATTTTTAGGGTAAATCGTCAAAATGGTCCCTGAGATTTGCATAACTCATCACTTTGGTCCCTGAGATTCCAAATCGATAAAAGTTGTCCCTGAGATTGTCCACCATCCATCATTTTGGTCATTCCGTTAAAAACTCCATTAAGTGTTCCGGAGCTTTTGGTCGGAAATTTGGGCAATTTTCAAAACTTCGTAACTCAATCGTTTCTTAACCAAATTTGAACCATAATATATCAAAATGAAGATAGGAAAGTGTATAATAAGATTATACATATTTCAAAGCCCAATGGTTGCCGTAGATGGCTGAAAAATAACCTCAAAGTTGACTGGTCCGAGTGAAAACTTGCAAACTCGCCGGAAACTGGGTAAACTTTAAACGTTCATAACTTCTTCAATGCTCAACGAAATCAAGTGATCAAAAATGAAATTCATACTTCTCAATGAGATGAAGAGAATGGTACCTTTTTCGACAGCTAACTCGCTCTGGTTTGACCAAAAAAGGGTTCGAAAGTGGCTAACTCGAGACCAAGACAACCACTTTCGAGCTGGTTTCCGGCCAAAAAATGGTGAGTTAGCTGTCAAAAATGTATCATTATCTTTGTCTCGTCGAGAAGTATGATTTTTGTTTTTGAATCACTTGATTTCGTTACGTATTGAAGAAGTTATGAACATTTAAAGTTTACCCAGTTTCCAACGAGTTTTCAAGTTTTCACTCGGACTAGTCAATTTTGAAGCTATTTTCTGGCAATCTCTGGCAACCATTGGGCTTCAAAATAGGTATAATCTTATTATACACTTTCCTATCTTCATTTTGATATAATATGGGTCGAATTTGGTTAAAAAACGATTGAGTTATGAAGCTTTGAAAATTGCCCAAACTTCCAGCTAAGAGCTTTGGGGCTTAACGAAATTTTTAACGGAATGATCAAAATGATGGATGATGGACAATCTCAGGGACCATTTTTATCGATTTGGAATCTCATGGACCAAAGTGATGAGTTATGGAAATCTGAATGACCATTTTGACAATTTACCCTTATTTTTATCACTGTGAAATATGTAAACATGAAGTTTACTTGTAATAAAATTGGAGTTGTGATGAGAAGTTTTAGTATTTGACTAACGTATATACATATACAAAATAATTTTTCAAAAACTGAGTGTCGCTACACAAAATTAAATTGAAAAATTAAAATTTCATATGTAAATAGCAAAATGTAAAAAGTCAATTTTCCATTTCATTGTCTCCAATTTCCACTAAACCCAATAAAAAAAGGTCGAGTTGGGTTGGGGGGTGGGTGGGTCGGCCCGTCAGGGGGCTCGGATTGAAGCCCAAGTAAACTTCTAACAATCCGCAAAACCAACCCGACCCGCATGGCTTGCATATCCTATGTAATCCGTTGTCTAAAGTCCTGGTCAAACTTTCTTCTCACACTTTATCTTCTTCATCCAAACAACTCCACGAGATAGAGGAGGGAGAGAGAGAGAGATTCAAAGCAACCATGGCGAACACAATCCCCGGGGCAGCCGTCGGGCTTTCCTGCTCGACTCCGAAGCTCTCTCAGAGACCCACCTCGCGGTTTTCGCAATCGTCCCGGCGGTTCTGCACCGTCAAGATGGCCGTCTCCCTCGATGAGAAGAAGAGTTTCACTCTCGAAAAATCCGAGCAGGCTTTCAATGTCGCCAAGGTACAATTACCATTTTACCCAGTCTGTGCTTTATTGTAATAGTTGTTGTGGGTTTCGAGCGAGTGGTTTGTGGATTGGTTTGAAATGGTTGGATTTCGCATGATTTGGAGATGTGGGTTTGTCCTAGAAATATAGAAATTTAGAGGATTTGAGATTGCACAGGAATGTGCTGAAAGCTTTAATCGTGATGGTGTTTCAAAAAGCTGTGGAATTTAAGTTTGGACTGTTCAATTCGAGCTGTTTGAGGTTCTGAAATCAAATCTATTAGTTATCAGAAAGGCGATCGGTACACTAATGCTCGTGCTGAACGGATGATTATATTTGGTTTTTGCACCTCTGATCTAGAATGTATCTAGTTCTTCAGTGTCATATTGCTTTGTTGTTTGTAGTTCTGCTCGGAAATGCACTTGTAGTCATGCGGCATTTGAACTTTTTCTTTCGTCATCTGATGTCTAATAGAGAATGTTGTTTCAGCTGATGGAAATTGTTTTGTTTTGTAGGAGTTGATGCCTGGAGGTGTGAATTCCCCTGTTCGGGCTTTTAAGTCTGTTGGTGGACAACCTATTGTGATGGATTCTGTTAAGGGATCTCACATGTGGGACATAGATGGAAATGAGTACATCGACTATGTGGGATCGTGGGGACCTGCTATAATCGGGCATGCAGATGATGAGGTCTTGATTCACTATATCTTGAAATATTTGTTTCTGTTGATGGGTCTTGATTCTGTTATCAGTTCACAATGTCCGTGTCCTTGTTCTGGAGTAAATTTTGGTTTACTGTCATAGAACTTTTGTTTCTGTTATAGTGCGTATGCATTTGTCCCTAGGAACTTACGTATTTTATGACAATGGTCTGTCTTCAAATTTATTGAACTCGGTTGAGAAGAAAACAAGATAAAAAAAGGTCGTACCCAGTGCACAAGGCTCCCGCTTTACGCAAGGTCTGGGAGAGGTGAATGTCGGCTAGCCTTACCCCCATTTTATGGAGAGGCTGCTCCCAAGTCTCGAACCCGAGACCTACCGCTCATGGGCGAAGGCACTTGCCATCGCACCAAGTGCGACCTCTGGTTGAGAAGAAAACAAGATAACTCGAAGAAAAAAATATCTTACTTCAGAAAGGGTAAATTGAAATATATTTCTTAGTATTAGATGATCTCAAGTTAGAAATTCTCTCTCAGGAAGAAAATAGAAAGGAAAAGAACCACAGATTGATGTCGGTTGAACCTTCATTCGTATGCTGTTTGACTAGGATGCCTCTCTGGTAGCAGCAGAAATTGTTATTATATATGCTCCACTATCTTGGATTGACACTTACCTTCAGGTACTTGCAGCTCTGGCTGAAACGATGAAGAAGGGAACTAGCTTTGGTGCACCTTGTCTTCTAGAGAATGTTCTGGCAGAAACTGTGATCGCGGCTGTTCCAAGCATTGAAATGGTTCGATTTGTGAACTCAGGTACAGAAGCATGCATGGGTGTGCTCCGCTTGGCCCGTGCATACACCGGCCGACCGAAGATCATTAAGTTCGAGGGCTGTTACCATGGTCATGCTGATCCATTCCTTGTCAAGGCTGGTAGTGGAGTGGCCACGCTAGGACTTCCAGACTCACCTGGTGTTCCGAAGGCAGCCACTTTTGATACTCTAACAGCCCCCTACAATGACTTGCCGGCTGTGGAAGCTCTCTTTGAAAATCACAAAGGAGAAATTGCTGGAGTCATCCTTGAACCCGTTGTTGGGAACTCTGGCTTCATTACTCCCAAATCTGATTTCCTTAATGGTATCCGCAAGCTCACCAAAGAAAATGATAGTCTTCTCATATTTGATGAAGTGATGACTGGATTCCGTTTGTCTTACGGTGGAGCACAGGAGTATTTTGGCATTACTCCTGATTTAACAACACTCGGGAAAATCATTGGTGGTGGACTGCCAGTCGGTGCATATGGTGGACGGAGGGAGATTATGGAAATGGTGGCACCAGCAGGACCGATGTACCAAGCCGGGACTCTGAGTGGAAATCCATTAGCAATGACTGCGGGGATTCATACCCTTAAGAGGTTGAGGGAGCCAGGAAGTTATGAATACCTGGATAAGATCACGGGTGAACTCATTCAAGGTATCATAGATGCCGGGAAGAGGGCTGGGCATGCAATGTGTGGTGGGTACATAAGTGGCATGTTCGGGTTTTTCTTCACTGAAGGGCCTGTGTACAACTTTGAGGACGCGAAAAAGAGTGACACCGCAAAGTTTGCAAAGTTTTATAGGGGACTGGAGGAAGGTGTATACCTTGCTCCGTCACAGTTTGAGGCTGGGTTTACAAGCTTGGCGCATACTACGGAGGACATCCAAAACACGATAGCTGCTGCTGATAGAGTTTTGAGGCAGATTTAGAAACTAAGTCGTTTCTCTGTACTATTATTTCTCTCTTTTCACGTTTCGTTTTGTTTATTTTCCCCTGTTGCAGGATTGTCAAAGTTGTAGGTGATCTGGAGGGAGCTGTTTATCATTTGAACTTTTTCGTACCTTAGTTACTGTCGATCGTGACGAATCTTAAGCTCGGATACAATTTTGGAATTCTTCGTTATCTACGGTTTTCTGTACTCTCTTTTACTCTTCACCCTCACACAGGGCTATCTTGTAAGCTGATCAATCAATCCTTCCCCAAAAAATTGGAATACAAGTTTCCCATTCAATGGGAGAGTGACAAATTGTTCAATCTGCGTTCACCTAATACATATTTCATGTTGTCGCTCTCGCGTATGCATTACATTATGTGTTTGATTGCATTTGAGATTGGTTAACAGATGCCAAACCTCCTCGCCACCACTCATCCGCATCAACCACTTTTCTCGTCGTCGCTGTCTCCGTCCCAATTTATTGTATATCTTGTATCCCCGAGTATGTAAAGTGACAATAATGTCCTCAAGGCTTAGTGACGAGGATGTACGTATATAGTTTTAAATTATTTTTCTTGCCAACGTAATTAAATTGTACGCGTCGTTACGAGAGTGTTGATGCGAATTAGGGCCGAATCGGGTTTGTAGCGAAAATGTTACGAATGAATAAGTGGAATTTGGGTTGGTTTCTTTTTAGTTGGATCCAATTGCTTGAATCTTAAACATTGTAGCCCAATAGGGCTTGAGACTTTTTTCTAAAGTGGCCAATCTGTGACCACACACACACATACACACATGCCAAACCTCCCTCACCCTCTCCTTCTTTCTCGAACTCTCTCTCGTCCGTACGACCCGAGTTCTGCAACTTTCAAACATCATCAAAACCTCATGGATCGAACCTTGTGGTACCATTTGTTAAGTGTGTTGGTTTCGAAAACCCAGGATTCAGGAACTCCGGCGAGGAGCTAAAATAGCTTCGATGTGATCGAGGGTGATTCACTTGGTTTTGAGGCTTAGTAAGGTACTTACTCAACTTCTCTAGCATGTTAGACTAGTTTTGGAGAAGTTTGGACGTCGGAATAAGCTCGATAGTGGGATTGCAGGGTTAGCTGGTTTTTCCAAGGACTTTTTCAGCCGTATTCCCTTGGATTTTGGACTTTTGATAGGTAAGATTGTGTTCTCCTTGTTGAGAGCTTCAAATCCATGTAAAGTTCGTGAATTTTGGTTGAGATTTGAGGGAGATATTAAGATTTTAAATTTTTTCAGAAACCGGCAACGCAGCGGCCATCGGCTCCGGAATTCGGCGAACCACCAGAGAAGGACCGGAGAAGGAAGGAGAATATTCTGTCAACTTTGATGGAATATACTGACGGTGTCACGTAACTTTAACGGAATATTCCCTAACGCCTTTAGGGAATCCATCAGTGTGCCAGGTACGTGCTTGCGAATGGCTGGAGCGTGAAGGTGCGTGGTACATCAGAAATTTTTCCTAAAAATATAGGGATGCTCGTGGTGTTGAGTAGGCCATGATGGTATATTCAAATACCCCAATTGAGCGACCTATGAAAAGTTATTACATGGTTTTGGTTATGTGCTTAAAATTAACGTTAAATTAGTTGTTTTGCATATAGGTGAGACGTTTCCGGAGGACGAGCGTAGCCAGGCGAGACTCGGGGGTTACGACCCTGCTACATACCAGTGAGTGGACTTTTGTTTTCTATATATATATATATATATATATATATATATATATATATATGTGTATGTATGTATGTATATATGCTTTACATTTTCCCAGAAACTGTTTTGGAACGAGCGTATTCTTTTAAATGCCATGTCATGCTTGCATTTCATTTTATTATATGCATACTATTGTATGACACTGTGGAGGCCATGTAAGTTTCAAGTGAGAACTGTATGATGTTAGTGGTTGCATTGGTTATGGTTATACGCAGAGGCATGTAGAGCTCATTATTATGCACCCCGGTGTTAGTGCTCCCACCCGTGGCCAGGGCACAACTTCACGTGATGTTCACCTCCCGCACCGCACGCTCACCTTGGATCCAAGTTTGGTGCACAGCCCTATTGTACAGACCACATTAGGTGGTTCCGACTCTACGGCAGTTTTGCCCGATCACGTTTTCTGTTTTGCGCCCCTCCAAGTTCTAGTTAGAAGTTCATGTTAGTGGCTTACGAGGACTCTACGGTTGTTCTGACAAACTTCAAATAATGTAGGGATTTCTTTCATGCCTTGTATAATTCTTACCTACCTGGCTGGACTGCATCTAGGTTACCTATGCTCTGAATATGTGTATCTACACTTTAAATACCTTCACTCGCACTTTTATACTTGTCTAGTGTAAGTTAGCTAGTTTGGTTTTTATTTACTCACACTTTCATATCACTGTCACTTCCACACGGCGCACATGGCTACGTCATCCTCACATGACGGCTAGCATGCCTCGATTTAGGTCGGGGTGTGTCACTTCTATCAAGTTTCCCCTATATATATTAAAACTTAACTATGTTAATTAATTGATTAAGGGCTAGTTTGGTATTATGTGTTTAAAAAAAATAAAAATAATAAAAAAACAAAAAAAAACTGATTATGCTGTGTTGTGAGAAGAAACAACTGTAAAATAAAGTTGTTTAGTGTTTGGTAAACTTTTTTTTTGTAAATGTACTTCCAATAAAAAAAATGTTTGAGTGTTTGGTAAACTTTTTTTATAAATTGCTTTGAATATGTTAAATGACTAAAAATGATAAGATATTTAATGTGATATATTGTCAAAAACAATAATATAGGAGCAAATATTGTAATTTTGTAAAATATGTGGGGGTATACTTGCTATTTGAAAATTTCATTAAATGAGCATTAATTCCTATGATTTGAAAAAAAAATGGAATTTTAACGAAAAACTCCTGATATTGTTCACTTTAACGAAAAACCACATTTTAACCCTAAAAAGTCAATCATGGTACTATTCACTTTATTCTTTATTTTGTCCTTATCGTTAAAACTCAGAATTTTCAAGTCATTTTCATTATTTTTCCTAAAAAAAAAAACACTTATTTTAGAAGCATGTAGACCCAACTTCTGCTTTTCTATGTTTTTTTAATTTTCATTGACAGCATTTTTTAAAAAAGCTTTTATTTTTATTTTTATTTTACTAAACACATTTAATGTTCCAGATTTTTTTAATTCGTTGCCTTTTTTTTTAAAGCACCACAATCCAAAACCAACCCTATAATCAATAAAATTAAAATAAAATAAAAAATCTATCCCTACTGAAATATGCTTAGGGATGGCAATTCTAACCGTTAAACTTGATAACCGTGGATAACCGCCTGAATGGATTGGATTTGAGTATGAAAATTCGGGTATATTTTGGGGATAGGGAAAAACCGTGAATATTATTCGGTTATGGTTATAGGAGTCCCCAATCCATATCCGTACCCGAATCCGAACCGAATAATATATAATATAATTATATGTATATATATGTATTTCATTATTTACCGAATCCATTACCTTAAGAATACAAAAATTGCATTATGTGAGTTTTATTTTGTGGCAAAGTTCAAAAGTTTTTATATGAATAAAAATCTATGAGAATTTAATAGTATTTTTGCGAGATATCAAAGATCAAGCAACATTATCAATGTTTAGCTTTAATTTTTATGTTCCACAAGATCCAATAATTAAATCATTTTATACATCAAATATTTAGTGACGAAATTAATATTTACTAAATTATCATGCGTCAATTGGACGAATATATTTTTTGTATTAATGAAGATGGATATAACCGTTAACTGATGGAAAATCCGTTATCCGGTGGGTATGATTATGGATAATACCCAATGATTAATTTGCGGTTATGGATATGGTTAATTTTCGTGATTATGGGGATGGATATAGCATTTTCGTCCCCAAACCGATCCGTTGCCATCCCTAAATATGCTTAATCAAAATAGAAAACATTCAAAACAACCTTCTTATTAAATGCCTACTCCCTCGATACAACTTCTACGTTTTACTCCGTGCACACTAGTTAATGCAAGTGAACTGAATTTATGTTTCCCGGGACCTTCATCGGAAATCCATTGACCATGACAGCCGGGACTCTCACCTTAAGATGTTGAAGGAGCCCCGGAAGTTACGATTTACGAATGCCTGAATAAGATCACAGGTGAACTCATTCAAGTTATCCTAGATGCTGGCAAGAGGGCAGGGGATGCAATGTGCGATTTTCGGGTTTTTCTTCACCGAAGAGCCTGTTTACAGTTTCAGAGTTTGCCAGATTTCACAGGGGACTGCTAGAGGAAGGTTGGATTGACAAGCTTGGCACATACTCATGAAGATATCCGAAATAGCTGCCATGGAGAAAAATTCTAGGCATTTCTACTTGTAGTTTAAATGTTGTTATTTGCATTAACAAGGTCTATACAGCTTTCCATTACTGCTACAATCATTCAAGCAATTTACACAGAGACAGGCAGAGGAACAAGGCAAGAACCAAACCGGAAACAAGTAAGGCAAGCAACCCGTGTGGTGGAACACAAGAGCCTTGAAACTACTGAAATCACCAACAACATGGTTTTCTGTACACACATCACAACATGTACACGTTGATGCTACAATAACAATGGACAAGCGTATGACCCGAGGATGGTTTCTGTAACCAAGGGATTGATACCCAGGTCACCAGGTCCCAACCTCAAACAGTTTTTTCATAATATGGAACATGAGCAGACAACTTTCTGGGGCAGATCATCAATCTTCTTTTCTGTTCGGAAAATAACGATGACAATTTTATTAGAATCTCATGCTCAGAAAATCATTAAAGGAATGCAACACAACACAACTTAACCTAATTAATCCCAATAAAATGTTCCTGATTATTTTTATACTCTTTAAGATTAGTAAAAATGAAGAACAACGAACACAGTGGTAGCTATAACCAGTAAGGATGCTATACTATATGCACCTCTCCATTCTCGGGATGTTAATTGTGCATCCTAAGGTAGAAATAAGGTCATAACCTAAATGGCTATCTTTCGTCGACTGTAGTCTGCATTAAACCTTCTTTAAACTCGAATCTGCTCTAATACCATAGCCTGGGTCACTCTTCTTTCAGGGACATTACACACGTCACCAATAACACTGAAGATATATCATCCTATGGAGCAGAAGAAAGAAAGCAAAACCTTCTCATAGGCTAAAACCAAATGCTAATGACCACGTCCACGTTAACTTTCCGTTCCAATTTTATTTTACATATTTTCCTAGTTGATTGTGGAACAACGGTTGAAAAATTTCAAGAGGAAATTACATTTACAATTAACTTCTCGAGGTATAAAGGCTGCATTTATCAATCCAGTACCCCCTCTACCCAAACTAGAATTCATTTTTCGTCTATGAACGGGGCTTCCACCCAAAAATAAGATATCGAAATGACCAGAAGCATATCATTTTCCAACATAGAGTTTCATTACGGAAATCAAACTCACAAGCCACAAGTAATTTTTCGAGATTAAGATCGTGATGGAAACATTACCCGTTTTAGCTTTTTCGATAGCTGGCTGTACAACAACATGCATTACGATAATTCCCCCACCAATATCAGCCAAAGGTAATTTACACTGACCCACTGTCTTGTTGTTCTCCAAAATCTTGCCAAAACTCATCAGTTTCACTTCATTCGCCGTCTTCGGCGTCATAGTCTTGCCTACCAAACAATCAAAAGGGCAATCCAAGAAAATCAAACAAAGCTGAAAACACAGTTAAAACATATGAAAAAGAGTCAAAATTACAAATTTGTGACTGAATCCATAACTTCTACCAAAATTCTGATTGCCCAAATCAAAATTGTGTTGAGATTTCATCTAATTATTAATAAATCTATCAAAATTTGCTAACATTCGGATTGCCAATAACTGAAATTTCAAACCCAGATGTATAAACCCCCAAATCAGAATCAAAATTCCGAAATTTCGAACCAAATTAAATCGAAAAACTTCATAGCAAACAAAATTACATGGAAATTAAAGTTGTAAAAAACAACGAGTGGCAAAGGCAAAACCTTTGGGCCAATCAGAGACGACCCTCTGCTTGAGCATATCGACGGTTGAGGCCGATGAGTAGCTGAACGGACCGACATCGGTGCCGTCGTACAACCGGAACTTTATGTCCACCAAATCGTCCTCCGGCATCTCTCTCAGTCAAGCTCTTGACTTTTGACTTCTTACGCCTATGCACCGACTGATTGCTTCCACGTGTCACTCTACCGCTTCCCCAACGCCGACCCTTTTCTCCTTGCGCAGCACCCGATCGGTCCGAACAATTCAGGCGTTCTTTCCCTTCTTCTCTTTGTTTCTTCTATGGTGGTTGGAGGTTGGTGCTGGTTGTTGGCGAGCTGTAGGAGAAGAGGGTGCACCCGAAGGTAAATCGGCTCCAATACGAAGTCGTTTCAGGCAGCAGATTCATAATAATATTACATTTACACCCTCTGCCCTTTCAAAAAATAAGGCAAAAATTTCTAATTTTTTTTACATTGCATCATGAGATTGTAGAAATTTATTTAGTGTAGATAATATCGTTTGTTACAAAAAAAAAATGTACGAATTTATGTTTAAAAATGTTTTTGAGCCTACAATTTTTTGTTAAATTGATTATATGACATACGCATGACTCGTTTTTAAGTTGTGTAGAAGCCACACTTAATTATTGAGATTAAGTTGTGTTATTAGTATATGAACTATTAATTTTAAAGTCTGCTCAAACCCAAAGTGACCTCAATCCGATTATTTATTGAGTTGTGTGTGTGTGTGTTAATGTGGGTTGGGTAAATGCCTTGCACGGCTATGTCAATCCAAATGCAACCCGATTTTAGCCCGAATTCTCTCGTTCAACATATTATCTATTCCGTTTATATAATATAAGCTAGGTACAAGATTTAGTATATATACAATTGAAGTTTGTTGTTGATTTCTATTTGAACGATAAATGATATTTTTGTTTTTAAGTTTCTCTCGGTTAAAATTTCGCATGATTGAAACATTAGAAGTGGTCTCTACGCTATTTAGTTTAATTAACTTTTCTATAGATGATGTGTGTGTATTTGATGTGTTGTTTAGTTCAAAATTTAAAAAATGGAATTTTAACGAAAAATTACTGGTACTATTTACTTTAATGAAAAACCTTTATACTAAAAAGTCAATCCTGGTACTATTAATTTTACTCTTTATTTTGTCCTTATCGTTAAAACTCATGGCTCGTTTACGTAACCGTAATCAAAATAGGAGGAATTGGATTACGGAGGAATTTAATTGAGAATAAATTGAAATGGAGAGGAATCAAAATAGAAATGAAACTGAGTTTCGGAATAAGACTTAATGTGAGTACTAAAATACCCTTTTTTTGTTTTATTTTTATTCTATATATTTATTTTTAAAAACGTTTTAGCTATTTATTTGTACTTATTTAGTTAAATTAAAGAATTAAATATCCACAATTGTGTAAAAACCAAATAAAGAACCCAGCCGCATTCATCTTCCCTCCCCGCAGAAGAAAAAACCCAGCCACATAAGGTCGCGATCGTCAAAGCGATGTCGCAGGAGGATGAGCCAGCGAGCGAGAAGCACATACGTGAGATACTGACGTTGGCGTCATCGTCCCGAGCTACGTCCACGCGTGCGTGTTGGCAGTGTTGAAGCGGCTGGACCATCGCCTCCTGAACGACGACGATCCAGTGTTCGAGGACAAGATCTCGTATGCCACCCGTAGATCTTTTGAACCTATTAGATTTTCAATTCCTTCACCTTATCGATTTCAAGCTCGTGAGATTAATTTGTTGGATTAAACGACAGATTGATAGGAGAGCATAATTGGAAGAGCAAATGGATTCCCAATTCCCTCATCATCCCGGAATTCAATTACCACATCGATGTAGGGAGTCCAATTCCTCTCATTCCAGGAATTGAATTCCACTTTTTGTGCGGGTCCCATGCACTGTTGATTCCTCACCATTTTAGTAAATACATGTATGATACGTAATTGGAATCAAACTCCTTACTTTCATTCCGATTCCGAATTAGTTAACACGCCCTCAAAATTTTCAAACTCTTTTAATTAGTTTTTATTTTAAAAAATCTTACAAAATAAAGTATTATTACAAGATAATCTCAATAAAGTTGGAAAACTCGAACTCAAATAGGTCCAAACCCAATTGAAATTACTCGAATAAAACCAACTTCTTTGCGACAACGTTTTTGTTAGCATATTGAATACTAATATTTTGATAACGATCTAGTGATATTCTTCTTCACTTAGAATTAAGAGGTCTTAAATTCGATACTCGTCAAAGATAAATTGCAATCATATTATTGCTAACTAATTATGAGATTTAGCTCACTCTTTTCCTTAAACCCCTTAATGTAAATTACATCGTTTGCTCAAAATAAATAAATAAATAAATAAAGATTTTAAATTCAATTTGACGACGTCGTTTGAGGAGTTTGGGGTCTAGGGTTGTGATTTGGCTTCCAAAAGCCGGAAATTTGATCCGAAAATCGGAAACAAGGCCGAAAAATGAAGAGTAGAAAGGAAGAGAAGGCCATGGAGATCGTGTGGCAGACTCCGGAGATTCGGCCGCAACGGCAAGATTACATCTTTCGCGATGGTACGTTCTCAGCCGTTGAAATTTTTTTCGACTTTTCGAAAATATTAACAAATTAAACGGTTAAATAAATAAAAATGTCTTTGGCGGGAATGTTGCAGGGAGGCGCCATGTCAGACCCTACAACTTCGAGTTCATCTGTCATGTAAGCTTGCTTCATTAATTTGTTAATGTGATTAGTTTGCTGTGATTAAACCCTAATTCTGTGATTCCGGGTTTTTAGGTGAAGAAACGGTGGGCGGGGAAGACCATCGTTGACTTGTTCACCTATGAGTTCAAAGGCCGGCCTTATGATTACTATGTATGAGTTTCCGTCTCCGTTTTCGTGTTCTTGTTTTACTTTCTTTTACATTTTAATGGAACGATTTCGTGACGATTAGTTCAGGTTTTGGGTTTATGATTTTGTATGAGGTTTTAATTTGTTGTGCAATGTAGGTTAGTGCAGTGAAATCTGGAAGGATACAGGTTGAGGGAGTGATGGTGCCGGTTTCCTACATTGTTAAAACGTCGCAAAAGATAAGCCACTTCGTCCACAGGTTTGTGTTGTGGTTGATGGCTCTCACTCTTCTTGTTACATTCATGGCTTTTGGTGATTGCTTTTTTCTATCTGTCTCTGTTTCCTTGTGAGCTTTTGTTAACTGTGTGATTGGTTCAAATTCGTATTTCAAATTTGTGTAATTGGTTTTGGTTGTAGGCATGAGCCGCCAGTGATGACTTGTGATGTATCAATTCTCCAAGAAGAACCGGATGTGGTTGTCGTTTGTAAACCTGCATCTGTTCCGGTGAGTTGAATTTATGACCTAGCTAGTGTGCCTAGCTGGGGATGAGATTTTTTTCTCATCTCCTATAACCTTATTACGGAGTCTTATGCCTGTTAGTGTCTGCTGTTTTCTAGGTGCATTCATGTGGTCAATATCGTAAGAACACCGTTGTTGGGATCCTTGAGGCTGAGCATGGCTTGGCACCTCTATTCCGTATCCTAAGCTTTAAACATTATACTTTTGGCATCACGTATTTTAACATAATGATATTTTGCAGTGAAATCTTATATATTCTTTATTATACTTTCCTTGACATGATCATGCTAGCGATTCATCGACTAGATCGCCTTGTCTCAGGACTCCTTATCTTGGCCAAAAGTTCTTCAAAAGCCAACTACTTTAGGCAACAGGTAAGCTTTATCTTTAGAAGTGACTATATGATACTTAGCAAACAATTTATTTGTTAACTTTTTCGGAAAACTTTGAGTCATCATCATGGCCAATGCCTGTGTATTATGGTAGCATAAATTAATAGTGAGTTGGTTTCTGTCACGATACAGTTCCATATAGTCCTGGAGCTACATGCATTACGGGCTTATCCCTGTATGTAGGCAGGGGTACACTCATCTGATTAGGTATGTGCTACATGTCAAATATAAAGTATACTGTCTCTTTAGGTGTATCGTCTATATTCATATAGAGTAAACTGTGTACCTTTTATACCAGTACATATGACTACTAAGCTTGGGGTTTTCCCAATTATTTGGCTGGTAATGTTCACGTTGTCTAAGTATTGGTATTGGTTGCATGCACATGTCACTGCCGTTGAGAAATCAATTTATCTTGTTCCACTGTGTTTTAAGAGGTTCTGTTTTGATGACTAGATGGTGTGCCTTTCATGCTTTTGTGGATAAGAAGGTTTTCCGCTCTTGATTTTCTGATGTCAAATGCAATTGTTGCAGATTGAAGGAGGGATGGTCCAGAAACAGTACATTGCAAGAGTTGCTGGAGAATTTCCTGAGCAAGAGGTTTGCTTTTGTTAGAGCTGGATGTTAAAACTGCTGGTCTTAATGTTAGGATTGACAGATTGTTTTTTTTTTCCTCTCTTCCACCAGCAACTTGTAGATGCTAACGTTATTCATGATCCTCGAGAATGTAGGAGCACAGCAGAGGTGGGTTATCTTGTGCATGATGCTAGTAGTTTCTGCTTAAACCGTAGGGTCTTTTAGTAGTTTCTATGAACTTCTCTGTGATTGTTGTTGTTAAGGTTGGTTGTTTGAAACTTCCTGCCATGGGTAACCCATTGTTAACTCCGCCTATGTCTTACATGGCCGGTCCCAAGCCCGGATAAAGGAGGAGGGGGAGGGCGTCAGGTAGTCGACAGCCGGCACTCCATGATCACGTCGAATCCTTATGAAAATGAATCCAGAACAAAATCGCGCTAAAGCTAGGGCGTCACCCGTAAGTGGCGCGCTGTGTGGCCCAAGCACAGTGATAAGTGAGCAAGGGTCGCTGTATCTCCATCGGCACCCGGATGCAGTGTTAAATGAGCAAGGGGGCCATAGAAACTTCTTTTCGAACGACTCCACTCAAAGTTGTTTGGGAGCATATGCTCCTATCAACTTTACCCGGGACACACAAAAGAAGTACTTTGATCCTATTCGACGGGGGAGGGTGAAGAAGCTAGGACAGAAGGGTAGAGTTCAAGAGAGCAAAATGCGTTTAGGAACGTGGAATATAGGAACCTTAACGGGAAAATCTATGGAAGTAGTGGAAGTTATGGTGAGGAGAAGGATAAATATTATGTGCCTACAAGAAACTAAGTGGGTTGGTAGTAAGGCAAAGGATATAGAAAACTCAGGGTTTAAACTTTGGTATTCGGGCACAAATAGAACGAGAAACGGTGTTGGCATCATCGTGGACAAGACCTTGGTACAAGATGTTGTAGATGTCAAGAGGGTAGGAGATAGAATCATGGCAATCAAGATTGTAATAGGACAAGAACTTATCAATGTGATTAGTGCGTACGCACCTCAAGTAGGGTTGGATACGAGTTCGAAGGAGAAATTTTGGGAAGATCTTGGAGACTTGGTGCAAGGAATTGCTCAGACGGAGAAGTTATTTATAGGAGGAGATTTAAATGGACACGTGGGCAGGGAGACAGGCAACTATGGAGGTTTTCATGGTGGCCATGGTTTTGGGGAGAGAAACGAGGATGGGGAAGCTATCTTGGATTTTGCAATGGCATATGATCTCTTCTTAGCCAACACCTTCTTTAAGAAGAGAGAAGAACATGTGATCACCTACAAGAGTGGGTCGTCAAAAACACAAATAGATTTTCTTCTAATGAGGAAAGGGGATCGTATAACTTGTAAGGATTGCAAAGTTATACCAGGAGAGAGCGTGGCTAATCAACATCGCTTGTTGGTGATGGATGTACATATCAAAAGAGTAAGACAAAAGAACAAGACTTGGAAGTGCCCAAGGACTAGATGGTGGAATCTAAAAGAAGAAAAACAAGTCATTTTCAAAGAGAAGGTAATCACCCAATGTGTGTGGGATAGAGAGGGGGAAGCTAGCCAAATGTGGGATTCCATGGCTAGTTGTATCCGAAAAGTAGCAAAAGAGGTATTTAGGAGAGTCCAAGGGCTTTGCCCCACACCAAAAGGAATCTTGGTGGTGGAATGAGGAGGTACAAACAAAGGTGAAGGCTAAGAAGGAATGTTGTAAATCCTTATACAAGGAGAGGACCGATGAAAATGGTGAAAGGTATAGAAAAGCGAAGCAAGAGGCGAAGAAAGCTGTCAGAGAAGCTAAGTTAGCGGCTTACGACGATATGTATAAACGACTAGATACCAAAGAAGGAGAGTTGGATATCTATAAACTATCTAGAGCAAGGGAAAAGAAGACAAGGGACCTAAACCAAGTGAGGTGCATCAAGGATGAGGATGGAAAGGTTCTTGCTACAGAGAACGCGGTTAAAGACAGATGGAGAGGTTATTTTCATAATCTTTTCAATGAAGGACATGAAATGAGTGCTTCTTTAGGGGAGTTGAGTAACTCAGAAGAGTGTAGAAACTACTCTTTTTATCGTCGAATCCGGAAGGAAGAAGTGGTTGTAGCTTTGAAGAAGATGAAGCATAAAAAAGCAATAGGCCCAGACAATATACCAATCGAAGTGTGGAAACTTTTGGGAGAGACAGGTATAACATGGCTCACTGACCTTTTCAATAGGATTTTGAAAACGAAGAAGATGCCAAATGAGTGGCGAACGAGCACTTTGGTGCCTATCTACAAGAATAAGGGCGACGTACAAAATTGCATGAACTATAGGGGTATTAAGCTAATGAGTCATACAATGAAGCTCTGGGAGAGAGTCATTGAGCATAGATTGAGGCAAGAGACACGGGTTTCGGACAACCAATTCGGGTTCATGCCAGGGCGCTCAACCATGGAGGCAATCTATCTCTTACGAAGATTGATGGAAAGATATAGAGATGGGAAAAAGGATTTACACATGGTCTTTATAGATTTGGAAAAAGCGTATGATAGGGTCCCAAGAGACATTCTTTGGAGGATTTTAGAGAAGAAAGGAGTACGAGTAGCATATATCCAAGCTATAAAGGATATGTATGAAGGAGCAAAGACTGCCGTAAGAACTCATGAAGGACAAACCGAAAGCTTTCCCATAACTGTAGGATTACATCAAGGCTCATCCTTAAGTCCTTACCTTTTTGCGTTGGTAATGGATGAGTTAACAGGACATATTCAAGATGATATTCCTTGGTGTATGCTTTTCGCAGACGATATAGTGTTGATAGATGAAACTCAGGAAGGGGTAAATGCAAAGCTTAACCTTTGGAGAGAAGTGTTGGAATCTAAAGGTCTTCGCCTAAGCCGATCAAAGACAGAATATATGGAGTGCAAGTTCAGTGCAAATGGAGGCCAAAACGAGTTAGGGGTGAGGATCGGAGATCAAGAAATACCAAAGAGCGACCGTTTTCGTTACCTAGGATCTATCTTGCAAAAGAACGGAGAATTAGATGGAGATCTCAACCATAAAAATACAAGCTGGATGGATGAAGTGGAAGAGTGCATCCGGCGTGTTGTGTGACCGCCGTATGCCACTGAAGCTCAAGGGAAAATTTTATAGGACGGCAATAAGGCCGGCGATGCTGTATGGCACAGAATGTTGGGCGGTGAAACATCAACACGTACACAAAATGGGTGTAGCGGAGATGAGGATGCTTCGTTGGATGTGTGGGCACACGAGAAAGGATAAGATTAGGAATGAGGATATCCGGGGTAAAGTAGGAGTAGCCGAAATTGAAGGAAAGATGAGAGAAAATCGGTTACGGTGGTTTGGACATGTGCAAAGAAGGCCTACTGACGCTCCGATTAGAAGATGCGACTATGGGACAGAGGTTCAGGGCCGAAGGGGTAGAGGAAGACCTAGGAAAACTTTGGAAGAGACTCTAAGAAAAGACTTAGAGTACTTGGATCTAACGAAGGACATGACACAGGATCGAGCACAATGGCGTTCTAAGATTCATATAGCCGATCCCACTCAGTGACTTGGATTTTCCAAGTCTCCAACCGAGAAGTTTTCCTCACTCGGGAAATTAAGGGAACACTACCCCAACCTACATGCTCCACTCAGAAAGCTTCAACATACAAGCTTCAACAAAAGAAAATTCAAAGAACTTAGCGAAGAAGACTTTGGTGTATTTAACACAATACGTTGAAATGAAGGAAAGCTTATTTATTGATATCCCCGATAAGCTACAAATATGTACATATACATGAGTCAAAATAAACACACAAGAGGGAGCCTTCACAAAGGTTGCTTAGGAGAAGTCTCAGCAGTCGGTAGAGCCCCAGAAAGAGAAGGCACCGGAGGGGGATCATTTGGAGCCTCAGTACTGGACAAAACCCTAGAAGGAGGAGGCATCAGAGGTTGATCATTCGGAGCTTCATTACGCGGTACAGCCCCAGAAGACGAAGGCAATAAATGCCTTTGGAACAAACCCACAAATCTCTGATGATCAAGTAAAACCTGACCATCAGTTTCCTTCATTTGGTCAAGCTTCCTCTTCATGTTTGTAGCATAGTCATGTGCGAGCCGGTGCAACTGTTTATTCTCATGCTTGAGCCCTCTAATCTCCTGTTTGAGACTCATCACTTCAGCCGCCAATGATTCAACTTGGCGGGTTCGAGCAAATAGGCGTTGGGCCATATTAGACACAGAACCTGCACACTGAACACTGAGAGCCAGCGAATCCTTAACAGCTAACTCATCAGACCGTTTGGAAAGTAGTCTGTTATCTTTGGGAGTGAGAAGGTTCCTGGCCACCACCGCAGCGGTCATATCATTCTTCATCACGGAATCCCCAACGGTAAGAGGACCAGTAGGGGAGACGAAGGATGGGCGCCATATATGTTGTCTGGAGAAGGCGGGGCTGCCTCTTCAACAAGGTTCAAGTCAAAACGACGGTCGGAGGGGCCAGACATTTTCAAAGGTGTTGAAGAGATAAGAGGTCGGACAAATCAAGATCTTAGAAGTGCAAGAATGAAGCTTCTACTGGTGGAGATTCAAGTGTGCTTTGGAACTTAATGCCAGCCCCTATAAAAATCTGCACTCGACAGAGCTTCAGAAATCGAAGAGGCGCCTGCTCAGAAATCGAAGAGGCGTTTGCTTTCTCAAAAGCTGGGCTGCTTAGAGATCACGAGGGTTGATCTCAGAAATCGAAGAGGCGTTTGCTTTCTCAAAAGTTGGGCTGCTCAAAGATCACGAAGGCCGATCTCAGAAATCGAAGAGGCGCTCGCTTTCTCAAAAGCTGGGCTCCCAGAGACCACGAGGGCCGATCTCAGAAATCGAAGAGGCACCTACTTTTCCAGCCTTGTCAGCACCTGTCACACGCACACTCAGTTTTGCGGAAATTATGGGCATTCTGTCGAAGACTTCTGGGGAAGTAGAAAACACATGAATCTTACTGTTCAATCACCCACTTCCCACACGCAACAATAGCTCATGGGTACCACAGATAACTTTGCCAAAGTTCTCTGCCAAAGTTGAGCACGTGAAGCTTGCAGCTCCCACTACATCGCTCTGACCAAGAAGGGTAAAAGAATAGCAAAGAAACAGCACTAACAAAGTTTAGACCCATAAATTTTGAAGGTCTAGCTACCATATTATTACCCACAAGGGTAAAGGAACAGTACCACTGCTGGATAATTGGAAAGTCCCTGTGTGTCAACCTCTGTGCTTCGTGGCAAGGTAGACTAGCAAACATGCCCAACCTTTACTCACATTCGAGAAAACACTCCCAATAAGATTGCTTGCTCCAAAATCGAAGAGGCACCGTCCTCCGAATCTCGAGAGCCAGACTCCCAACATGACTACTTTCTTAAAAATCGAAGAGAGGGTAAAGGAACAGTACCATTGCTGGATAATTGGAAAGTCCCTGTGTGTCAACCTCTGTGCTTCGTGGCAAGGTAGACTAGCAAATATGCCCAACCTTTACTCACATTCGAGAAAACACTCCCAACAAGATTGCTTGCTCCAAAATCGAAGAGGCACCGCCCTCCGAATCTCGAGAGCCAGACTCCCAACATGATTACTTTCTCAAAAATCGAAGAGACACTACTCCCCGAATCTTCGAGAGCCAGACCCCCAGCATGATTGCTTTCTCAAAAATCGATGAGGCATCGTTCTCCGAATCAATCGAAGAGGCGCTCGCTTTCTCAAAAGCTGGGCTGCTCAGAGACCACGAGGGCCGATCTCAGAAATCGAAGAGGCACCTACTTTTCTAGCCTTGTCAGCACTTGTCACACGCACACTCAGCTTTGCAGAAATTATGGGCATTCTATCGAAGACTTCTGGTGAAGTAGAAAGCACATGAATCTTACTGTTCAATCACCCACTTCCCACACGCAACAATAGCTCATGGGTACCACAGATAACTTTGCCAAAGTTCTCTGCCAAAGTTGAGCACGTGAAGCTTGCAGCTCCCACTACATCGCTCTGATCAAGAAAGGTAAAAGAATAGCAAAGAAACAGCACTAACAAAGTTTAGACACATAAATTTTGAAGGTCTAGCTACCATATTATTACCCACAAGGGTAAAGGAACAGTACCACTGCTGGATAATTGGAAAGTCCCTGTGTGTCAACCTCTGTGCTTCTTCGTGGCAAGGTAGACTAGCAAACATGCCCAACCTTTACTCACATTCGAGAAAACACTCCCAACAAGATTGCTTGCTCCAAAATCGAAGAGGCACCGTCCTCCGAATCTCGAGAGCCAGACTCCCAACATGACTACTTTCTCAAAAGCGAAGAAAGGGTAAAGGAACAGTACCATTGCTGGATAATTGGAAAGTCCCTGTGTGTCAACCTTTGTGCTTCGTGGCAAGGTAGACTAGCAAACATGCCCAACCTTTACTCACATTCGAGACAACACTCCCAACAGGATTGCTTGCTCCAAAATCGAAGAGGCACCGCCCTCCGAATCTCGAGAGCCAGACTCCCAACATGATTACTTCCTCAAAAATCGAAGAGACACTGCTCTCCGAATCTCGAGAGCCAGACCCCCAGCATGATTGCTTTCTCAAAAATCGAAGAGGCATCGTTCTCCGAATCTCGAGAGCCAGATACCACAGACCACTTTTTCAAAGTGCTCTGACAGAGTTAAAACATGTGAAACTGGCAGCTCCCACTACCGTGCTATGACCAAGCAGGGTAAAGGAATAGCATTACTACTTGTTGTTAGGGAGACTCCTATATATGTCGACCTCCATCACCAACGGACAGGCAGACCTGCAAAAATGCTCAACCCTTCATCATATCTGAGAGGGCACTCCCAACGAAGCCTTTCGAAATATTCAGCTTTCTTTCCCCCCGATAATACCTCTGCAAACAAGCTATACTAGAGCAAGAATATCTCATATCATCAGGGTTAAAAGCAAGAGTATCCCATATCATGCTTTTTCCCTGTCTTTTCCTTTGGCCTTGTTTTTACCTGCAAGACAAGGAGAAAGAGAGCAATCAGTCAGCACTTGGAATCAAGCTTCCAGCCAGGAACTGACTGCCTGGAACCCCTTACCTGATTACTTACCTGGCATTGCTCTCGAGTACTCATCTTCAACATCTTATGTTTCCAGGGAAGATTCCGCATCTGCTTGAGGAACAGATAGGGCAAGTGCGAAGGATACAAGGAAGCATGTGGAGACAAACGTAACAGCACACGTGCCGATACATCCATTACTCTGTCAAAAGCAAAAGTATTCCATATCAGCAGGATGGAACGTACTCTAGATTTGATGGACTTGTTTTGACCCTCAAATTCTTCAGTCGGCCTTATACTCTGGAGGAAACCAGAAAACCCTCCAGCTCAGTTCAAGAATAAGCCTGTGGAAAGTTACTTCTTCAAAAGCAAAAGTATCTCATATCATCTCTTCTCATTTTTCTTCTCTTTATCCTTCATGCTGCTGCAAGATGGGGAGAAGGTGAACAATCAGTCGGAGCTCTGATTGCTTACCTTGTCTGTCACCTCTTTCAGCAGACCCCTTAGCTCGGCGACTTGGGGGACTCCTACTACATGGTTTGTATCGCGCTTGACCAAGCCTGAAACTACAAGTAAGCTTCAAGTGAAATTGATACATTACCTTGTGCATCTCCACCAGTTAAAGATACCACCCCTGGATGGAGGAAGAGTACTTCCAGAGAAGATGCCACATCTACCTATGAGACAGATAAGGCAAGTCAAGACGACACCACACTCCGATATTTAGAAGTTTCGTGATTACGAGATCATTCTCCCACAATATTTCCTAATGTCATTTGTACTAAGTCATTCACTTGTACTCACTAAAGGAGAGCTTGAACCTATGTACTTGTGTAAACCCTTCACAATTAATGAGAACTCTTCTATTCCGTGGACGTAGCCAATCTGGGTGAACCACGTACATCTTGTGTTTGCTTTCCTATCTCTATCCATTTATATACTTATCCACACTAATGACCGGAGCAATCTAGCGAAGATCACAAAAAGCGACCGTTTTCGCTACCTAGGATCTATCTTGCAAGAGAACGGAGAATTAGATGGAGATCTCAATCATGGAATACGAGCTGGATGGATGAAGTGTAAGAGTGCATCCGGCGTGTTGTGTGACCGTCGTAGGCCACTGAAGCTCAAGGAAAAATTTTATAGGACGGCAATAAGGCCAGCAATGTTGTATGGCACATAATGTTGGGCGGTGAAGCATCAACACGTACACAAAATGGGTGTAGCGGAGATGAGGATGCTTCGTGGGATGTGTGGGCACACGAGAAAGGATAAGATTGGGAATGAGGATATCCGAGGTAAAGTAGGAGTAGCCGAAATTGTAGGAAAGATGAGAGAAAATCGGCTCCGGTGATTTGGACATGTGCAAAGAAGGCCGACTGACGCTCCGGTTCGAAGATGTGACTACGGGACAGAGGTTCAGGGCCGAAGGGGTAGAGGAAGACCTAGGAAAACTTTGGAAGAGACTCTAAGAAAAGACTTAGAGTACTTGGATCTAACGGAGGACATGACACAAAACCGAGCGCAATGGCGTTCTAGGATTCATATAGCCGACCCCACTTAGTGGGAAAAGGCTTTGTTGTTGTTGTTGTTGTTGCTTGTACAAAGTGCCCATACTGGATGATAACCGTCTCTTGTTTATGCAGGTTAGTGATTTATCTGATGATACGCTCATCAAGGGGAAGACTGCCTGTACAAAGTTTACTAGACTCAGTACCAATGGAATTCACAGTCTTGTCTTGTGTGAACCAGTCACTGGCCGAACTCATCAAGTAAGTCTATGCACTGATTATATGGGCAATGTAACACCACATTTTGAATGGTTTTCTCTTGAAAAAGAAAATTATCTCCCCTTTCAATTCTCGGCGGTGAAGTTTGCAATATGCAGCATATGCTTTTACTTTTGGTTCCCTGTGGTAGTTTTCCATTCGCTATTCATTTCAGTGAACTTTTACTACTACACTTCTGTTCTTACGACTCTACCTTCCATTTTGTTTTCTGAATTTCGATATCCTTTAAACTCTAAAGACATAGCTCTACATTTTTTATTCCAAATGATCTGAATTCTGAAGCCAAGATTTGCGTCGACTAAAACATCAATGATTTCCGCTTTTCTGTGATGTAGATACGTGTCCATTTGCAACATGTAGGCTATCCGATAGCCAATGACATGCTTTACCTGTCCAAACATGTTAATGGTCGTTCAACTGAAGGAATGGGTGCTGATAGAGCCGCTGTAAATTCCAGGCCCCTTCTGACCTCTGGGTTTTGTGAAAATTTATCCACTGAACATGTAGACCCCAATGAAGATTTTAGCATTGATCCCATGTGTACAAATTGTCCGAATTTGGTTCCAAAAGGGTAAGATTTTTATTTTCGTCAGAGTCTAAATGAAAATATTCTTTGATGCATATACCTTATAACCGTAAAAATTTGATTTGGACTGTCATCAACTTCCATTATTTTTGGTGCAGATACGATGTTCATGAAGAGGCTTTGTGGCTGCACTGTGTTCGATATTCTGCACCCGGATGGACTTATGAATGCCCGTATCCGGATTGGGCATCACTCAGCTAACCATTCGTGTAATCCATAACCCTAAGCCTTTTGTACTCTTCATCGAATAGCCCCCTTTGACAAGAATGTAAGGCCCTGTACCATAATTTTTTTTGAAGAATTGTATACAAATGCAATTTTACCCTAATTAACTTATTTTCCGTTACATTTCCGATCTTTATTTTGTTGGAAGATGTCTCATGTTCAAATTTTACAGACGAAATGAATAAAACATTGATTAGGATCCTCTTTATGTGGCAATCAATCAATCGTATTCGTTTATTGTATATCATGCTGTTATAAATTATTTTGATTTTTTATTTAAAATTGAACATAATAATATCTAACAAAAACAAATCGTACAATGTACGATAAACAAATATAATTGATTGATTCTTTAAATTCTCATAAAGAGGATCCTCATCCTAAAAACATTTCTCGAGTGATTGCCCCATGGGGTAATCGTGGATGAAAGTTGCATCATGACACCACCTAGTCTAAAAACCCTATGTAACTTGAGCACCTTCAACAAGTTGGCCAGAAGGAAAGAATAAGAATCTTCAACAATATTGGAATAAAAAATGGGACAAGCAAAACAAAAAGCATAAGATGATGACAGTAAACCTTTAATAATTGATCTGAAGCTTCAGGCGTTCAGAGGATCAATCAAAGTAGTAGACTAGTAGTGGGGTACTTCATTAGAGGCATATTGTCTGACATCCTGTTATGTTATGGTATACTTCTCATCCTTTTTTATTTGTGAGGTCATAGTTAAATTACGTCAACATTTTATATTCATATTACCTTTTATCTTATTATCTTTATAAAAAAATCAATATAAAATATTTACGTGAATTAACCGTGACCGCACAAATAAGAGGGGATGGGAAGGGTTGGAGGTAAATTGTCTACCCTCCTGTTATGGTGCCCTTCCCATCCACTCCTATTTATGCAGTCACGGTTAAGTCACGTCAACATTTTATATTCATATTGTTTTTTGTCTTATTATCTCTATGAAAAAAAATCAATATAAAATTTTGACATAACTTAACCGTGACCACACAAATAACACTACAAAAAAAATAGTCATTTGCAAGGGTAATGTACCGTTAGAAAAGACATTTTACTGTCGCAAATACTTATTTTCGAAGGAAAAATACCCTCGCTGGGCGTCGCAAATTGTTCAATTGGAAATACTTTTTTTTCGAATAGCCGTCAAAAGTACTTTATTATCGACGCACAAGACTTGTCATTAGTAGTATCTTCCCGTTGAAAATAAATTTTCAAAATGGCAAAATTATTTTATTTTCAACATGTCAATGTGATTGCAAATACTTATATGACCGTTGAATATACTTTCTAAACATCTATTTTTTGCAATGATTTTCTTACGAACCAAAACCATTGATCCACAAATGATTTTCTTTTTGGAGACTAGCAAAAACAAAAAATTGAAACTTGAAAGGCAAAATATTAATAACATTCACCAAAATATAACAAAGGGAAGCAATTTTACAGATCTCGTTTCACAATTGACAAAGGGAAGCAATTTTATACCTTTTCAATCTTGATCCGAGGCTGGCCGTTTGAGATCTTCACCGCCTTCTCTACTTTTCTCCCTTGTCACCATGGCTCTCGATCGAGGCTCCCCTACAAACACATAGACATGCAGACACTACAGCACATATGTGCTTAGATCCACACTTTAGATAGCACAGAGAAACTGACTACATTCCTAGAAAAAAGCTGAGATGCATGCAACGCAAACAGAATTCCAAAGACTCAACAAATGCAGAACATAATCTTTTTTTTCCAGAGATCCAAGGATTCACAAATCATAGCAAAAACTAAAGGGGAAAGGATTTATACCGTTTCTTCTCGGTTCGAGGTTCGTGTTAGTGTATCGACACCAAGATCACGAGGTTTGGCTTTCTGATCTACACGGCTGAGCTCGATTTATGAAGTGCAGCGAAGATGGAGGGGCGGTTCTGACCATGGCGATGGAGATTATGAGCGTGGTTCTAATTTTGTGATGTTGGGGTCCGATTTGCAGAGAAGATGGCTCAGAATCAAGTTCGGGGGTGAGATGCAATGGTTTGGATCCGAGTTCTCTGATGGAGGCGTTTGGTTGAGATTTGGGAATGAAGGAAGGTTCTGAAATATTAGAGTTATGTTTCGGGAAAAATAGAAAGGAGAAAGCGAAAGGTCTCTCAAAGTGGAGAGAGTAGCTTGGGAATAGAGAGAAAATGGTGGAGCGGAGCTCTCTTTGGAATCAGAGGGTTAAGTTTTTGGGCGCCATACCAAATTTTTTGAAATAGAGAGCTAAAAATAAAGGGCGTCATGCCAAAATTTTGGCAGCCCTCCAAAACACACGGTAAGGATTTAATCTCACTTATGTGAGATTAATCCTATGGCTATTATTGTATTAGAGTTTTTTTAAAGTTTTTAAATTAATGTAGTAGTGTGAAAAAAAAAAATATATATATATATATAGAAACACTTGTAGTGACAAGCTTTACAATTTTTATGAAGATGACACTCTAAAATTTATCACTATAATCCCATAAACCATAGATCCAAGTTTAACCGTTCATTGTCGTTTATGTTTACGCTCCATTATTCTCACTAAATTTTGTTTTTTTTTTAGATTTTCTATTTTGATTACATGATCTTTTAGCGAATGCAGAAAGATGAACGGTTTGGAAGATATCATGTTCAGATGGTTACGGTTAATGGAGTTTATAAGGTCTCTCGAATCGTTCATCTATTTGCCTTCACTAAAGGATCTTGTTTTCGAAAAAGAAAATCTGAAAAACGAAATCAATGAGATGAATAGAGTGTAAATAACAACCGATGATTAAATATAAATCTAGCGTTTATGGATTATAGTGTTGGTATTCGGATTTGACCCCATCACGAAAGTTATAATGTTTGTCATTACGAGTGATTGTATATTTTTTATTAATTTTGCACTCAAACAAGACACTATTCATGAGGGTTTGGAGGGTTTAAAATCTAACGACGATGTAACCATTGTCTAAGTGTAGATGATGCAATAACGAGCCGTTTGTATATCCTTTCACATTTTTCCCACTTGTGCATTAATTATTATGAATTTTTATTTATTTTGAACTCCCACTAAAAACATTATTTGTAGAGTTTTAAAAATTCAAACGACGATGCACCCATTGTCAAAGCATAAACGATGCGATCAAGATCGTTTGCATATTTTTTCACACTTGTAAAATAATTATTGTGAATTTTTTTAATGTTCATTGGTAATTTTAAATTGTTTTGATTTTTTTAATGTGCATTTTAAGAAACTAGTTTAACGATCAAACCTTCAAGCTTGTTTGTATATACTCTGAGATCACATACATCAAAATCTCAAAAAACAAACATTTAGAGATTAGGTATCAAGACGAAATATTTCGATGGTTATAAACGAAAAATCATGATTTAACAATTATTTTAGCTCCAATTTTGATGATTTTTTACAACTACACTCCTGGACACTATAAGAATACAATGAACTAGTTCAATCTTCAATTTAAAATAGTTACACTAGTGGATACTTAATCAATTTAAAATATAGTTATTTTTTACAGCCTCTAATTCCTTTTGCAAATACACAATCGCTTCCGACAATAACTAATCACCCTCGAAAATAGAGAAATTACTATCGACGACCACTTATTGCCCTCGAAAATAAACAATTACTTCCGACAATTTAAATACGCCCTTGGAAAAAATATAACTATTACCGACGAATACAAGTTTCGTTGTAAATAAATGTGGCGCCAAAATTTTCCTCCAAAAAATAGCTATTTCTGACGGCGATGTAACTCTTTTCCAGGGGTATTTTGGGTGTTGAAAATAGTAAACCTCTTGTCGACATATTTCCGACAGCGCATAATTTTTGGTCGGAAATAGTGGTTTTTCCGAGAGTATTTGTAGGCCCTCAGAAAAAGTTGGTCGCAAATGACCCTTTTTTTGTAGTGTAGAAGGGGATGGAAAGAACCCCATAACAGGAGGGCAAACAATCTGCCTCCTACTTCATCAGCCTCACCTCATGCATTGCATGCACAGTCATAGGGTAGGGTCAAGCATGGATACCTAAACTTTGGCATGCTTCTTCTGAAAATGACCTTTGGTCACTGCCCCTCATTTTACACACCTTCCAAGATACAACATCGGCAAAGTGTGAAAACGTGATTATGGTTTCGAACCCTTAACTGATCATATTATGTAATAATTGATGTGTACTTACTAGATCGATTGTTATAAACAGCTAATAATGTTTTATCATTGGAGGAGCGAGCACTCCATTGAAGCCTATTCTAGGCCTGGGAAGAGATTAAGTAACACTAAGCTACAAATGGAGAATTTGAACTTGAAACCATTGGCTGGTTATATTATGTTACAATCGATGTGTATTTATTAGGTCAACTATGATAATGCTCTGTCACACATGATCAAGATTCAAACTTAAATATATAACATTTTATAGATTAAGCAATTCTAGTCTAAAGTTAGTTTTTTTTTTTAGAAGGGGCCCAGCTCGTTGCCTCACCACGACAGTCTACCCTTACGGGGTTCGAAAAGACTCACCAAGGCATTTCAGCCTCCCCCTAGCCACCACCATATGATTCACACGCACCAGAAATCGAATACATAACATGAGATGTGGAATATAAACTTGGAATTTGTTCTTAACCATTGAGTCACCTATGATGAGTTAGTTGGTAATGGTACATAATTAATTATGCAATAAAAATTAGTCACGTTAACTTGCGTCAAGCTATTTCTCTTTAGTCTTATAATAAAGAGAGAAACCTAATTTTTTTGGTATTCAAAACTAAAGATAAACAATGAGAAAACGTGCAATTAATCATCACTAACATAACTCATTGGTGGATTTTTAATTTGTAAACAATGCTGGATATCTACACACAAACTTTTGCCCAGCAGGCGTGTAATTTGAATCACAAGTTCTTCAGACACCGAATCCCCCCAACTTGTTAAAAAGGAGACAGTCATCTATCACATCAGGGAATCGAACTACCAAAGAATGTTCCGCAGGAAAGTACAGTGGAATCCACCTGATTATCTGACATGAAAAGTTGATCATGCATCGTGGTCATATCTGGAAGAAATCCTTAAATTTGTGGTGGAATGTGTCCTAAAGTTTTGTTATATGGATGAAATATCTGATCAGGCTGACTCAAATTTCACTGACAGTGACTAGTGCCACAAGAATAATTACTAAAATTAAACCCCTAGCATATTTCTACCAATTCTTGACATCAAGAACCACAAAAGTAGTTGATGTATAAAATAGTGTGAAGTTTGAATGTGTTGAGAGATCCCGCATCAGGAATTACTATAAACATTAGGCATCGATGTATAATATATTGGGCCCTTTTATTGGTTTTGGCCGGTTGGATACCTTAATTCTAAGACAATATTAAATTGTAAGTAGTGGTTGTCTTGGTGATTGGGATACTTTCTTTAGCTCACCACGTTTTGAGTTCAAACTCTCTTTCCTCCACTTATTAGTGTAATTTAAGGTAAGAATATCATTTGTACTAAAAATAGATAGTAATAAATCAAAGCTATTTCACTTGTCCGGCTTAACAGATATACGTTGATAACAGCTCAAAATACACCAAATGCAAGAGAACATGTTGGAATATTTTTCCTACTTATGTTGCACTTGTTGGGAGAATTTTTATGGGGTTTAATGTGTTCCTAGTCACTTTAATTGCTTGCAAATCTTATTATTAGGATCTGGCATACTAATTATTTTTGTTGAAGTGCTTTATGCAAGAAGCAATATTTATGTGTTTTTTGCAGGAAGCACCTTAAATGTTTTTTTATCAGGATTCACTTGCATTTTTATTAAGGATTGGTTACAAAACATTTTCACAAAAAGCGTATTCAACTATTTTAAAAACGCTTCCAAATGAGTCTTTAATTAACCAAACATGTCATCTTCCCACTAAGGTTTACTGAGTTTGAGTAGCAAAAGGGATTTCAAATCCTTATATGAACTTAATTAAGGGAATTATATAATATAAATACATAAGGATTTTTAATGGGCTTATAATGATCGTATCTCATTACGGTTACGCACTTTGTATAAATAAAGATTCTTATCAATGCATTACAAACGTTACGCGTACTATTTCTCATTTAATAGTATAACCTACCGAGTAGGAACCAATAAAAGAGTTCTTACTAGCTCGTGGAGCAATATTCAAAGAAGATGTCTTTCAAATCCGTCAATCCAGGTTAGTATGTTGGCTTATTTTAATTAATTGAACCCCTTCAAATTCACAGGTGATGTATTCCGCACGTGGGGAAACGTCAAGCCTTTGCCCTAATTATAGTGAGTTACTTTTTACTAGGAAGAATATTCTTTTGTGTGAAGGTTCCAAACTTATGTAGATGGATGATTTTCTTTCACTTTGCCTTGGCTATAGCTAGCATATTGATATGTTAAGATGGATCCATTCAGATCGGCCCGGTGCAAGTTTTCGAGTCATTCAACACTAGCTAGATAGCATGTAGAGAAAGAGAAAATATGGGATTCTTCACTACTTGGATTTAGGAAGACAAATTGTGTTGTTTCGTTTTGGTTGCTAGGGTTTGTCTTGTCCCCGTCTCTCCCAGTGGAATTTCCTGAAAAAGCTAGCTAACTTAATATTGGCAAAAATTAAACCTCAAGTGGATAGGCTTGCAAGAAGAAAATTCTCTGCCTACTTTTAGTTTATATGTAGCAGTGAGACACTTTTCTGTGTTAGCTAGTGACTTTTTTTATCCATGATCGCAATTGACATACTTGGAATAATTATAAAAGTGACAAAGTTATAGTCTATATGATGCGTTCTTTCTTCGTCAAGCTTATTCTAAGTGTCATTTTCATTTGTAAAAATGAGACCAGATTCATATCTATTCCAGCAACAGCCATGTCAAATTGAGTTATATCGTACTTGATAAGTTTTTTCCGCTTGTTTTGGTTTTTCTTGATAAGAATTTCAAAAGTTCGTTAGGAAATACTTTAGCGAATAACATTTCGAGAATTAAACTATAGAAAATATCTATCACCTATCTACCAATTGTTAATGTTGACAAGTGCGATACAATTGGGTTCATTTGTTTTGCAAGCCTGTAAGTTGGAGTTTTAAGGAGAAATTTGTGAAGAGCCCTCAAGACAAAAAAGAAAAAGAATCTAGAAAATATAGCATGTAATTAACTAGTAATGATATTTCCTTGATACATTGAAATAAACTTAACTATTTTAAAGCTAATGACACAACTACATCAGCTAGCTACATAGCTTTAAGGGGACGCAGATACTGAAAGACTAAGCTTAGAGAGAGATACAATACAGACACACCCATGGCACTGCCCCTAATTAATTAGAGTACAGTTAATCCAACACACAAGTTAAACTTCAATTATGAAAACTGAAGGAACTATGCTCTTGAAGACTTAAATATAACATGCATGTGCATGTTCCTTCAGTTTTTGGGTCAAACTTTGGTGGAGGCATCATCATCCATGGCAGCTTCCTTGGTTTCTTCTGTTTTTTCAGCCATGATAATTATATTTTGAACCACTTCATTCATGTCACTTGTAATGTCCACAGTTGGTTGCAGAATCACTGCAGGGCTCATTTCTGGACACACCAAAGTACTGATCTTCCTCACATCAATAATGTGTTCTGATAATTCTTGACCTTTTGGCTGATCTTCCAGAACTTCCTTTGCATTCTTGTAGACTATGTAAACCACCATTTGAACAACCCCTAAGAAGAAGCCCAGTATGTTTGGTAACTATTGGTTCAATAAACCAAGAGGAAAACAAAAGATTAATATGCAAATATTTACAGCAAGTTTCAAATCAAGGCATAAAATATAATTATACACTTCTGCATGTTACATGCATGTATGTTATATATGTAAACTACAAAGGTACACTTACAGCTATGTAGAAGTCCTTGATCAGAAAACCATAGAAGAACCATGCGACTGCACCTAATGTTAGGAAAAATGATAACGGAAATGGCATGAACTCAACACTCTTGGTCCGTATTACTTGTCTCTGCACAAATTTACCAATGATACATTAAGAAATTAATTTGACCCTAGAAGAAACTAAACCTTCTTTGAATCATCCCAACCAATCATATAGTACCGTCTCTTCCAATAAGATATTTAACACACAGTTAGTTGAGATGTTACAAATAGTTAAGATTTGCTTGAAGTCGAAGTTGCTAATTACCAGGACACCAAGAGGTGCGACAAATACGCTTATGCTGAACACAAGACAAATCCATCCCACAATCTTAATACGCATTTCACCTGTGGCTAGAAAGCGAGTCAAAACAACCATCACTGCGTAACTAAAACCGTTCAGCAAGAACAGAAGCGTCGCGTTTGAGATCTGCAAGTAGCAAATTTAACCCATGTGTAAGCGATACATATAATTTGAAGACTGTTAGTGTTAATGATGGAGTTCGATGATCAATACATACCCTGGCCTTCTTGGGGGCATAGAAAAGGAAGAGGGAAATGTAAAGAGTCTCTATGACGCTGCCAACCGAGTTGATTGTGATAAGAAGAGTGGCATCATATTTAATCTCTTCCTTAAGGAGGGCATAGTATATGTACAGCATTGAACTCAACAGCCCTATTACATATGGAAGTGCTTGAAAACCTTCTGTTGTTTTTTTCTTGTAAATTGTATAAAAAGTTGGCCTGCAATTGCAAAAGTCATTGTTCTCATCATTAGCTAGGACGCATATGAATATTTGAAAAATTTCCATGGAATAGTTAATTAATACATTTAATCAAAATAAAAGTAAACCACTTACACTGGAGCAAGGAAGACCAAAAGGGAGATGATGTTGCCTACGATAAAAGAATTGAACAAGGGGCAAGAGAAAAAAAATCAGTTCATGAACTTGAAATCTTAAACACAACTTAATTAACACATACTACAAAGAATAGTAATGTAGTATGCATAAATTAAGTTGTGACCATCGATCCTTTTGTGAAGACATGCATATAAAAGAGGGTTTAATTGGGCACAAAGGAATATAACTAAAGAAGTTCCCATTTAGCATTCAAAAATGGGTTAATTATAATTAGCTTCTATGATCTCATTAATGGTGATGAAGAAAAAGAGGTAGAAGGGCAATTAGCTACAATACCTAAGAGGCCGAAGGCCAAACTCAAAGTGTGTTGAAGGGCCATGTCTTTGGATTACAACCAAAAGATTGGAAGGCACTCTTTGTATCACTCACTCTCTATGATCCCTTGCTCACGCAGTGATAACAATACACAGCTGCTAACTCATACTTCAATACATGACATGCTTATAAGCAAAGGGTGTGAGCTATTTATATATGGAGGAAGGCTCACGATCGAATCTGAGGTATCAAGTTGCATGCAAAAGAATGTGTGAAGCAATATAAAAAATGTAACACCCTAGGGTTAGCCTTTCCAGTTGTTCATTTGAGCTTTCACGTTTACATAATCCACAGAGGTTTTTTTAGCTAGCTAGCCCCTATTATCCTATATTTTCCCTATTTTTTCTTTTATCTCCTAAACGAGAACGACCTCACACCAGTTAAACCCTAGCAAGTACTATTCCTAGTACATACACAAAACCCTTGGGGTCCCACCCAAGCTTCTTTCTGATGTGTCACCCACCAAGTGGTTTAATGGTTACAACTCATAGTTCAGTTCTAGGGACTTCCGTGCTCTTTCTTAGGGTTTGGCTCCTCTACTTCTTCAAACACACAAATTGTTTGTGCGGTTTACACTGTTCACCAATCAAATTTAAGAATGCTAGAGGAATTATACCAATCAAAATTATTGTTGATTTTACTGATTAGACCCGGTAAAATAGTTGGTCTAGATTTCCCCTGCCATTTTTTACTTTAAAATTGAACAAATGTATAATGTACTGCAACGCACTGGATTGAAGTTGCATATCAAGACCACTTGCTCCGTCCTTTGTAGGAATCCAGAGGGTTTGAAATTATTTCATTCATCCAGAATCGCACTAAGGAGCTTTTTGATGTGTAATCGCACTTGATATGCAGGGCTATTCAGATCACGGCTTATTTGACATAAAAAAGCAATCCAACGGTGAAGAAGGAAGCTCAGAATTAGGATGGATCCCATGCTTTCTTATGTATAGAAGAAACAACGTTTCTAGTTGACCCTGTATAAGGAAACTTCGCCCTACCAAGAAACCGTATTGGCTCATCCAAAACACTAATTTTGTTTATCTTGATAAGGTTTTCAAAAAGAAGAAAAGTATTGGGGATTAATTATATCGTTCAGTGGGTTTGAACCATGGAAGAAAATGCCGATAATATCGGCGAAATATCGCCGATATTATCGGTTTTTCGGGAAATGGATATTTTAATTGGTATCCGAATGGTTTTCGTCCAAATATCGCGATATTATGGAAATATCGCGATATTTTTTTGAACGGTGCAATCGGACTCCGAGCCGAACGTCGGAGAAGAACGCCGGAGATGGTGTGCCTATTCCCGAGCCGATTTCGTCCCAAAAACCTTGCAAAAACACGATTTTTAACTTCAATTTCACATATAAACTTCAAATTTCACGCATGCAAGAGGTAATAAACGATTCAACATATGTGATGTCGGTTTAGGGTTTAGGGTTTCAATGGAATCTCACCTGAAAACTTGTTATCTTCGAGTCGAAGACGAACCAGATGACTGAGCCAACTCCTTGCTCAGTGGCGCACCGCCACAGACGACTGAGCCAACTCCGACTTCGCCAGAGCCACGATCAACGGCGGCGACACCCAGATATCGAGAGGGATTCGAGATTGTCGGACTGAGGAGCAGAAGGCCGTGGTGTGTGTGTAGGGGAAGGGAGAAGAGAGATCGAGAGATCTGTGTGTGTGTGTGTGTGTGCGTGGGAGAAGGGAGAAGAGAGATCGGAGAAGGGAGAAGAGAGATCGAGAGATTTCTGTGTGTGTGTGTGTGTGGGAGAAGGGAGAAGAGAGATCGGAGAATGGAGAAGAGAGATCGGAGAATGGAGAAGAGAGATCGAGAGATCTGTGTGTGTGTGTGTGTGTGTGTGTGTGTGTTTGGGAGAAGGGAGAAGAGAGATCGGAGATCTCTATGTGTGTGTGTGTGTGGGAGAAGGGAGAAGAGAGATCGAGAAGGATCGAGAGAGAGAGAGACTGAGGTCGTGTTCTGCGTGTGTGATGTTTGTGTGCGTGCGTTGTGTGCGTGTGTGGTTGCGTGCGTTGTGTCATTTGTGTGTGTGTGTGTGGGTTCCTCCTGTCAGGAGGACACATGACTCACTCAGTATTCCCGACAAGTTTTACAATTATTTTGACAATTTCAGACCACTTTTACAATTATAATTTGTATTCTTTTCAGACCATGGATGGTGGTTTCATTCAAAACCGTGTGCCGATATTGTTTTAAAAGGTGGAGTATCAAAGCCATTGTGATATTCTTTCAAAGCTGCCATTGTGATATTCTTTCAAGAGTTCGAGTATCATAGCCATTCAGAGCCTTTTCGATTATTTTATTTCCCTTACCCCTTTCAAAGTCATTCCAGATCCATTCCAGAGCTTGAACACAAAGGGTTCCATATTTAAAGTAAGTTTACAAACTTATATTTATATTCTTATAATTTATACAACAACAAAAAAATTTGTGTGAACTCGTATGTTAATTTTTTTAAGTAATTAATACTTGCATGTTAGTTTTTGTAAGTAATTAAGTAATGTTAACAATTACATGTTAATTTTTTTAAGTAATTAATACTTGCATGTTAGTTTTTGTAAGTAATTAAGTAATGTTAACAATTACATGTTAATTTTTTTAAGTAATTAAGTAATGTTGTATAATTATTCCCTAGGATAATTTTAATATGTTTAATGTTATTTATTATTTTATTTCCCTTACCATTTTCAAAGCCATTCCAGATCCATTCCAAAGCTTGAACACAAAGGGTTCCATATTTAAGGTAAGTTTACAAACTTATATTTATATTATTGTAATTTATACAACAACAAATAAATTTGTGTGGACTCGTATGCTAATTTTTTTTAAGTAATTAATACTTGCATGTTAATTTTTGTAAGTAATTAATTAATGTTAACAATTACATGTTAATTTTTTTAAGTAATTAAATAATGTTGTATAATTATTCCCTAGGATAATTTTAATATGTTTAATGTTATTTATTATTTTATTTCCCTTACCATTTTCAAAGCCATTCCAGCTCCATTCCAAAGCTTGAACACAAAGGGTTCCATATTTAAGGTAAGTTTACAAACTTATATTTATATTATTGTAATTTATACAACAACAAATAAATTTGTGTGGACTCGTATGCTAATTTTTTTAAGTAATTAATACTTGCATGTTAATTTTTGTAAGTAGTTAAGTAATGTTAACAATTACATGTTAATTTTTTTAAGTAATTAAATAATGTTGTATAATTATTCCCTAGGATAATTTTAATATGTTTAATGTTATTTATTATTTTATTAATATTAGGTTTTATTATCAAATAGGATAATTATTCATTAATATTAGTTTTTTTTTATTATCAAATTGGATTATTATTCATTAAATTAGATTATTATCAAATTGGATTATTATTCATTAAATTGGATTATTCATTAAATTGGCTTATTATCAAATTGGACTATTCATTAAATTGGATTATTATTAAATTGGATTGTTATCAATTTGGATTATTATTCATCACTATGTTTATATTAGGATTATTTTTAAGATAATTGGATTATTATTCATTAAATTGGATTATTCATTAAATTGGCTTATTATCAAATTGGACTATTCATTAAATTTGATTATTATTAAATTGGATTATTATTCATCACTATGTTTTATATTAGGATTATTTTTTTATCAAATAGGATTTTTATTCATTAATATTAGGTTTTTTTTTATTATCAAATTGGATTATTCATTAAATTGGATTATTATTAAAGTGGATTATTATTAAATTGGATTATTATAAAAAAGGAATATTATTCATCACTATGTTTTATATTAGGATTATTTTCATGAAACATAATTATCATCATTTATAGTAGGATTATTTATATTAGGATTATTATCAAAAAGAAATATTATTCATCATTTATATTAGGATTATTTTTTTTATCAAATTGGATTATTATTCATCATTAATATTAGGTTTTATTATTCCATATTATTTTTTTTAATTACTTAAATTTTTACAATCATTTTCTTTACTTCATATTTAATTCTTCTGTAGAATAACTTTTATTATTTAGGTTCTCTTATATAACCGTCATCACTACTATATTTTTTTGGCCAAAAAAATATTTGTCTAATTTTCATGAAAAATAAATGTAGGTACATTTACGATGTCCAGTGGAGCTACTAAACGTGATCCAGCTTGGGAACATGGACACCCAATAGACGGAAACAAACATGGCACAATTTGCAAATATTGTGGTCGTGTAATGAAGAGTGGCGGAGTGACACGACTTAAGTACCATCTTAGTGGATTAGATCCAGCAAAAAATGTCCAACGATGCGATAATGTCCCCCAGAAGTGAAGGCATTTATCAACACATTATTAAAAAATAAAAAACAGCAGAAGGAAAAGATAACACAGGGAATGGAAAATATTCGAGCTGGGCTACGGGGAGAAGTCTATGGCCAAGAGCTTGACAGTGATGATGATGACGATGAGGACGAATGTGATGATGACATGGGACCTGAAGAACGACGCAGTTTGAAACAAGCATTACGTGCCTCCAAACAGTCAGCATGGGAAAGAGAACACCTTCATAAAATTCCTAATAGAGCACAAGGTTCCGGGACAAGTGGTGGTGCACAAATGAAACGGGGAGGCAGTCTTAGAGAATCACAACCAACACCACCAATAGCCCCAAGTTTATATAAGTCATCCAAAGCATGTCAAAAGAGTGTTTGGAGTTATTTCACTGGAGGTAATGTGAAGGAGGGAATGGGGCGTCTAATTAGCAAGTTCTTTATCTATGAAAATGTCCCTGCTGCGAAGGCATCATCACATCCTTTCAAAAATATGGTAGTGGGATGCCAACAGGCCGGCGTTGGAGTACAACCTCCCACTCCCTATGAGATAAGAAACAAATATTTGGATATGGAGTATAAAGACATTGGCGAGTATGTTAACAAGTTGAGGTCAAAGTGGGAAACTAATGGTTGCACAATCATGTGTGACGGATGGACCGGCCCGACCAGATTGTCTATCATCAACTTCATGGTATACTCAAAGGGAAAGACAATTTTTTTGAAGTCTGTTGATGCT